TAAAATGGAGTGTGTATGTGTGTGTATGCACACATGTGCCTCACTTAGAAAGGGCTGTCAATAGGAGACTCTTCTGCACTTCCCTCCAACTCTTCCCTCACCACAAGTACTTCCTAGATTTCTCCTGTCCTCTCTGTCCTTGAAAGGATAGCTTCATTTAATAAGTATTTGTATTGAAAAATCACATTCATCTCTAAAGTCTTCTGCCTGTTTCTGCCTGAATCTTTGCCTCTGGCTCCTGATGAGACACATTTTCTCTATCCTCAACTTGTTTTCTTAGGGACTCAGTACATGTGGAGATAGGGAGGTCCTGGGAATGCACTGACTGAGAAGGACTTTTGAGTCTTGAATCAGATACTCATTCTTTCTCTGGGACCTTATGAGAATCACTAACCTTCTGGGGTCCCTTATAGAATTATGTCTATTCCTTCTTAAAACTATGTTGAAAGATCCCAGGGTTAAGTGAGGGGACTTTCTGCACAGGTTCCCCAAACAGTTATCTTTCCTTGGTGGTCCGTCTAGAGGGTGGGACAGGTGTTAGTCCTTCTACCACACAGACAGGACAATGGAAGCCAAAGAGGGAGGACAGCAGGAAGGGACAACTGACAAAGCCCAGTCCTCCCTTATCTCTAGCTCTCCTCACAGAGTCCTTCCTTCCCAGATCTCTGAGTAGTACAAGGGTGCCAAGGCATTTGCTCCACTGTCAACTGGGTTTGCAACCCCAGCCCACACCCCTTGTCAAATGGGGTGGAAGGACGGGACAGGAGCTGGTGTATTGTGAGGCTGTTTCAGGATAGTAGACAGGAAGGAGAAAGTCCTCTCAGAGGTTAGATTCTTACCCTCCAAAGAAGGGAGTGAGGTGACCCCAGCCTTTTCCCTCTCTTCCCCAACAAGCATATTTTGGCCCCAGATAGGGCTCTGCCTCCTGAATTGATCACCCCACCTTCCAGGTACTTGGCTCCCCTCTAACTCCTGTCATCAGTGCCACCATCCATAATCTTGTCTTCTCCCCTGCTGCTGCCACTCTCTTGTATCCTCTTTCTCTGGTTCACCATGTTGGTGCCCAGTCTTCCCACTACCATCTTTGAATAGAAAGTCACTGGAAAGACCCAGGTTTAATTTTGTTATTTACTAGGCATGGGATATTAGGAAACCCAGTTAACATTCTTTCTCGTCACCATCCTCAACTCTCTCATCTGCAAAGTGGGATAAAACACCTACCCTCTCAGAATTGATGTAAAGGCCAAATGCACTGTGTTTGAGTGTGTTCTTCCAGACACAAGTTGGTACTGTTATCCACTCCACCATGGGATTCCTGCACTAAGAGAAAGGCCCTGTGAGGACAGGGCTGATTCTTCATGTTTTTGAGCCCAAGGTCTGATCCAAATGTGCTCTGCAAATGTCGATTAGGGGACTACCAGCCAGGTCAGAGAAGAGGACTAGAGACAGAACTAAGCAAGGCAGCTGGAGGTGTCAGATGAGAGAAGGATGAGAAGAAAGCTAGAAAGAAGGAGATGTGAGTGGCTGAGGGACATAAGGCAGAGAGGGAGAATTCGGCACTGAGAAAGCCTATACGTAAATGCAGAACATGGAAACTGATGGGAGAGAATTTGGAAAAGTGGAACCATGTACATACCTTTTAAAATTCAGCCCTTAGAGATTATACAAATTCTTTCTTTATGAGGAGAAAAATAAAGGTCCAGGTGGGGAAACACTTGCCCAAGTCTGCAAGGAGATCATGGCAGAGCCTGAGTTGGACAGGCCTGACTTTGATTCCTCGTTAGAAGCTGTGTGATCCTGGGCAAGTTAGTTTCTCATTCTGAGCCACAATTTCCTTTTTGGTAAAAATGGGAATTGTAAGAATGAATAATGAGATGATGTATGTAAAATTTTGGGTACATATACATGTGCCCAGGTATGGGCAAGATCCATGAATATAATTGCTCTTTCTCTCCTTTTACCTGAGCCTACCAGATTTGTCCACCTCTGAGTTTGAGGCTATGCTGAGGCTAGCATGGTCAAATGTCATAGGGTTAGCTGAATAGGTACGTAGGGTTTGCCAGATATATACCTGGAGGCTTTTGAAATATATGGTGGGTATGTCCTTATCAACCACTCAATTGACAAAAACAACAAAAAATGTTGTCAGCCTCCAAAATGAAGGAAAAGTAACAACTGGTAGGGAGGTAAAAGGAACTGACAGAAAAGTTGGTAGTACAGAAGTCTAGAAACAGCGTGGCTTCAGTCCTCTGAAGGATGTAGAGAGAGCACTGGACAGCGGATTGGGAGCCTCCTCTGCTCCCTAGTGCTGTCATATTCTGAAGCGTTGGGTTGTTTATCCTTCATCTATGCTTTAACTAGGATAGGAAGAAAGGAAGGGAAAAAAGTCCTGCTCTGCCAGGTCTCTACCAACTAGGAAGTCTATGTCTGCACCTGAGAATGCTCTCCTTTGTGGTCTGGGCCTGTGTGGATGGAAAGAGTCACCTCCTTTCCCAGCTCCCCCTCAACTTGTACCTATATTGGGGATTTCACACAATACAGAAGGTGCTCTCAGGGAGCTGGGGCTTTCTAGATCATCTTTGTCTATAGTTCCTTTAAACCCAGACACAAACCCCTTATTTCATGCACTGCTGGGAAGGGGAATATACCTTTTAAAAATCCAGTCATAAAACCAAGTTGGTAAGCACTGTGACTCAGAGTAAGCTCTCCTCTGTAAAAAAATGAATCAGAATGACTTTCCAGGAAGTTTGGTTAGTTTAATTAGATACCTCTTTTTTCTTTCCCTTAAAAACATGCAGTAATTTGGTGATCACATAAGTATGGGTGCTACCAGCCACTGAGCTTAGCCTGTAAGTGGAAGACTAGGGCTGGAGAAGTTCCTGACAGCATGGACTTCACAATCTCCTTGGAGTTAAGGAGCTACACAGAATCATTTACTGAATGGTGAAAGGAGAAAAATCAACCTCCAAGGCTAACCCACTTGGCCTGAATGAAGGGGAGAAGGGCGCCCCAACTACCTGCAGCCTCAAAGCACTAAGCAGTGATACTCATTCTGTATATTACAGAATCAGAATCCTAATGATGGCATTAAAGGTACCGATAATCACAGCTGCCATGTGCCAAGCACTGTGCTAAGGTCTTCAAACATAATCTCAGCTGACTCTCAACCCATTCTTGAAGTTGTGCATTAATTGTTCCTCTTTACAGAAGAAACAAGACTAAATTAACTTATCAGATCATGCAACCAGTAAGCAGCAGGGCTGTGATTTTTATCCCAGGTTTGTTTGAGTCTAAATCCAAACTTCAAAACTCATCTGTTTCTGCCTTCTAAGAAGGCAAAATAGCTGGTCTAAGGTCATATATTGAATTGGCAGTAACCCTGGGATGACAGTCAAATTCCAAAAGTCCCAGCTTATATCTGGATTATTTCTCCTTAGAACCTAGTCTGTACATAGCTCCCACAGTCCCAGATAGGAGGTCAGAACTTGCTTGGATTATCAATAATACCTTAACCTTACTATTCCAAATCCAGGATCTGAACTTATTTCCTTTCCTGGTTCACCTTTTGGGGTTCCGTGTAGTTTCTTCCTACCCCCAACATGGTTATACCCTAACTTGGTCAAGTAACCAATAACAGAGCATGAGTTCCAGACTGCTGAGTGTGGTCTTCTTCCCACATTAACATTCTCTTAGCTGTGTCCCCATGTACCTGGGGCAATGGACCTGGCCAAAGTGAACAGAGTTGGTTTCAGACAGCGAGTAAAGGGTGACCCAACTTCTCCTGAATCCTGGCTTCTATACCTGAATTTTTCTATAGGGCAGAGTGTCAGAGTCTAGACAATACTTATAAGTCTCCAGCTGGACTGGGGTTTCTGAGATTGGAGAGAATTTTCTTCTCAACTAAGAGGAACAGGTGTCTTACCCCAAAGAACCTTAGGAAAATATACTCAGACAATAATTCAATTGCAAAACAGATACAACTGGCCCATATTCTCCTAGTTCAGCTATCCTTATACATAAAGCAAAATATGAGGTCTGTAGCTCTAACTGTGCAAATAGATACTGTTTTAATATGAAATTGGGGGCAGAAAAGTTTGTGGTAAATGCACCTTGCAGATGCCCCACTCCCCAAGATCCCAATTATTTTTGTCCCTTATCCCAAGTCTTTTAGTTTCAAGAATGTAACTAGACTGCACCTGAAGACCTAGAAAAAGATTTTAGCCCTGAGGGACTTTGATTTTCTTTCACTTCTAATTTCTACATCTCCAGTGATCCAGATGAAAGACTAATTGAGGTCCTATTGGGATGCTTTTAAAATTATTTGGTGGTGTTACAATTTATACTCATCTTTCTCTAAGTTATTTTTAATTATATAGAGTTTTCAAAGCAAGGCTTGGACTATAGAGTTACAAGCAGACAGGTATGAAACTTTCTTCTCAATTCTTCCCTGTTCTCTTTTTCTTCTTCATAAAGCAAAGTCCTCTTCAACCATTAACTCTTTCTCTCTGAGCCTTTTTACCACCCATATGCACATTACTTGGAAGAGGAACACTTGCATGAAGTGTCCTTGGTTAGTTCCTTGATTAGGACTATTGAGAAATTTGGGGTTAAAAGACTCTAGTTCCTATCTAGTAGACATGTTCTGCCTTCTGTCAGTCAGTAGCAGCTAGGAGTACAGCCTGCTGCCTTTACAGGTATTGGAATTGTACATCAAGAAGTGAAACTTCTCCCTAAATTTTGGTTTTGTTTTTAAGGATCTGGACTTTTTCTAGCCTAGTTCCAGGGGTTTTGTTCCACTGTAGACCAATAGGTACTGTTCAAAGTCTTCCATGTCATATCCCATGTCTCTAGAGAAGTCCTCCATTCCCTAGGACCCAACTTTTGGGTGTGATTGGCTAAAAGACCAAATGAGAAGAGATACAGCATTGTTTGAAGATTTTTAACAGCTCTTTCCCACCAGTTGTTTTCCTGTTCCATTCCCCAGAAGAGAAGGCCCTTACCTGTCTCCACCTGGCTGAGAGCACTGCGAACATCTGTAGAATCTGCTACATCCCCACTCATCTTGTTATCTACAGGGAAAACACAACCAATTTTAATAACAGGTTACAATTTTTCTTGCTATGACATATTTGGCTTTAAAAGCAAAGATAAATGTGTAATTACAACAACCATCAGACTTTCAAATTCCTGACTCCTGAAAATCCAACTATTATAATACTCATAAGCTCCAGGCACATATCCCCTCCTCCCCTGTTTGGCTCCTTCCCTTGCTTTTCTTTTCCCTTTCTCCCATACCACTGCAAGGTCTCTTACCTTTTGCATCATTTATCGCCATTGCCTTCTATCACCAGGTGCTGTTGGTAAAAATTAAACACAGGGAGCGAAATAGTGGAAATGAGGGAGAATGCTCCCTATTCTTAATTTTCATTTCATTTTGGATTTAGGGAATTTATTTTACCTTTTAATGTAGCATAAGAAATATCCATCTTTCCTCCTTCCCCCATAATAACGCTACCCTGGAAGGCTTCACCTTCTCATGTTTCTTCTCCAATTCCTGCCTCTGTTCTCTTGGCTCACTCTTTAGGAATCAAACCCTAGCTCCTTTGTGGTCTTCCTTGGAGATCCTGTACTTTCAGGGATCCTTACTTACTGTCTTTCCTACACTTCCAATGTGCTCAGTGAAAAACAGATGGTGGGTAGGGCAGTGCCCTGGAGAGAGAGAAGACTAGGCAAGGCCCATCTCAGCCCTCAAATGCTGTGAGTTCGGCCTCTCTGCCCTGCTTCATTTCAATAAACTAAACATTTACCCACAACAGACAGCTGCCATCATCGAAGAGGTCCTTAAGTCTCCTCCAGAGTCAGAAGAGAGAAGGGAAGAGGCAACTTCGAACTACCAGTAACACATTCTCTCAATTACCCTCCTTATTAAACTACCCAAATACTGAAGACTTAAAGACGGAAGAATATTTTATACAAATCATGTTGACCCTCACTTCCCCACCCTCTTCTCTGGGGCAGCATTTTAACTCTTTCAAACCTGATGAAGTCTTGGTGAGCCAGTTTACATACTTGGTTGCCAGCCAATCCCAGTTAAGCAGGCAGTCTTAATTTGCATGAGGTAATCTGGCAGTTGGCAGCTTGGCCACCCAGAGATCTGGAGATGATCAGGATGAGGGGAAAGCATGGACCTCCAATCCAGGGAAAGTGGGGAAAAACCTACTTATTATTTTTTAGGGCAGTAATGTGTGTGGCTCTGGCAGAGATTTAAATTGTGGCTTCTGAGGGAATAGTGACTACAGGGTAGGAGGGGTGACTGTCCTGCCAAGCAAGACAGAAATGAGGAGTCCAGAGGCTCTCCAACCCTTAGATCAGCCTAGAAGCAGGGGAGGGAGTCAGCAACCTTGGGAACCACTGTGGTGTGAGTAATGTTTTTGAGACCTGCCAAAGTGACAACTCTTAGCTAAATACTCAGAACTCCACTTAGCCCTCTTCAGACCTCCACTCTCCTGTATAGTCACAGACCTTTAGGGGAAATCCTGCAACCACACTCTGCCACCTCTCCCAGTGTACTACATTTAGGAAAGCATTTCTTGAGCCTAAGTCCTTCCTGCTGCAGTTTGAAATTCTCTATATAGTCTTTCATGCATGAATATGCAGGCTAGTGTGGGCCACCTGGACACATCTGCAAAGGGCTTCTGTTGTTGCTTACCTTCACAGCAATGGAAAAATTGGCTTTGCTTCATCCCACCCCTAAGTACTACCCCTGGAGCTAGGCATGGTCTAACAGATGTGCTCAGCTCTCACTTTCCCATAGGGATTCTTTGGCAGTGCCGAGAAAAATCAGTGATTGCTGGGAAGAAGTGGGAGAGGGAGCATTCTGACCTTGGTGATTTCTTAATCTGCTTCAGTAGTGCCTGGAATTCAGAGCATGGGTTCTGGTGGCGGACAGACCTGGGTTTAATTCCAGTGTCATCGCAGACCAGCTGGGGGACCCTAGTCACATATTTGAACCTTAGTTTTCTCAACTGAAAAATGGAAATAAAGATACTTCCCAGGCTTATTGTGAGGAGCAAATGAAAACGGCCTGGCACAAAGTAAGCATGTTATAGACTAATTAATTAAACATAAACTTAAGTTTTGATATTAGTCTTCTTCTCCTAGTACAACAAACAGCTTTACTTTTCTGTCTGTCTTGGCACTATTATAATTTGTCTGTTACCTGGGGAACCACTGGCATTCTCCAAATTCTGACTTAATAGGAAAAGTGCTCATGGGAACAGGAAGAGTTCAAGATGCAGTACGGCAGGAATGATGACCAGATTTTCTGAATCAGCTTATTTCAAACTCCTGACATTTCAGAAGGGGAACTTTTTAGCTAAATCATAACTTTATGCCTGCAACCCAAACTCTCTTACAACACCCATCTCCTGCATGGCCTTTAAATTTACCCAAAAGCCATCTTACTCATCCTTTCAATGCGCTTAAAAGGTAGTCCTAATCACGTCTTAAAATAACTTTGAAGAAGTCAAAGACCCCATACTCTGCCAGGACCTCTACTCATTTGATGTAGCCACTGTGGAAGCAACACTGACACTTCTGGATTGGACAGGGATTTGAACCTGAATGGAGGGGCAGGCTGAGATAATCTGTGAAACCTCTTCAAAGTACCATAGGATGCTAAGATACTAATAACCTGTTCCTATTGGGTAGAAGACTGAGGTTAATGGGTGGGACAAGCTTTTGGGTCTCAGCCTAAAAATGGGCCAACACCGAAACTCTCCAAGATGCCATAACCCTTCACCTGTCAGACAGTACTTGCAGGAGTGAGTGAGAGAGATGCAGGGTGGGGCCAGGATTCTTGGCTGTTCTTATCTCAGTCACAACTGAGTAGGCTCTTTGCCATCACTCCCTTCCCTCCCTTCCCTGGGGAGGCTCAGCTGCTCTATATAAGAGCTCAGATACCAGACACAGACTTTCATCTGCCTCCCTGGCATCCCCACACTCTAAAGCTGGGACAATTTGTTGGCAGCTGACCTTGCCCCTCCCTGAGCCTTGGCATGACCTAGGAACAGGTCCTCTTTACATATCTGTGAACCAGGATGCGTGTGTGAGCCTGTAGGACTAAAGTCCAGCAGCAGCATTGCCCCCAGGCTGCAGGCTGAGTGTCTACACTGTCTTGGACCTTTGGGGAAAGCAGAGGACCCACCTTTCTCTCTCCTACTGTCCATCTTCATCTCTTTGAAAGGATCTAGAGCTCCCTCCTGATTTCTCCCTCATATATGTGCTAATTGGGGCACTTCCACCGGAGGGAATTCAAGGGACCCAGCAGTTCTACTTCTGAGTCAGACATGGCTTCCACTCTTTCCTGCATGAGACTTCTTTTCTTCAAGAGAAATCCACTTCCTCTCACAATAAGGCCTTCCAACTCAAATGATACTCCTGGGCTGTAACTGGTATCAGTCTGTGAGACTTGATCCCTCTTTCACAGTTCACAGTGAGAAGGTCAGAAAAAGAGATGCCTGGGACCAGCCAGATGTTCCCTTCTGGCTGGCTTTTCACTGTTTTCCTCTCTTTTTTCTCTTTCCCCATCTGTCTATATGACTATTATCTACCCCTCTGCTTTGTTGTGACCCGGAAGGGGGGAGCCCTTCTTTGGCTGGGGTGCCCCCATGTCTGGTGACCTCTTGCCTGCTAAGGTGTTCCTGTTCCCATGTGAGAGATGCTCTATGAAGTACAAACTGTCGAGGCCCTAGACATACCTGATCCATGGCTTATACCCAGGTTATCAGGGGTCACAGTTCTTGTAGACCTGTCTGAGTGGGGGGCTCTACAACTTACTTTGTGTGCTCCTGATCCCCTCCTCCCACCCGGCAAACTGTTCCAGCAAGTCAACTGAGGAGTCCCCAAGGGCCCAGGACTTTGAATTCACAGAAGTGCTGTTTATAAAAAACCAGTAGGATATAGGATTACTGCGATGGGGGAGAAAAAGGACCCCAAAGACCGAAGTTCCACCAAGAGGATCCTGGACTTAGAAACACTACAGGGGGGCCTGTAATGAGACACTCCATAGAATGACCCTTCCTCACAGATCCCACAGCAGGGCCTACACTAAAAGACCCTACAAAGATAACCTGGAATGAAAGGCCAATTGAGAAGACCCGGCAAAGAGAACCTGCAAGTGGACATTGAGTTACAGAGGTTCCACGGAAAGTCTCAAATTGAGAGAGCCCTCTGAGGTGCTCCTGAAGGAGAACTAAGCACCATAGAGGGGATCAGACAGCCCTGAAGAAAGACAGACTAAAGCAGTGGGCTGGAGAGGGGTAGCAAGTAAATGCAGAGAGTTGAATCAGGTTACCTATTCAAGGTGGATGGAGACCTTACTCTGAAGAGTCACCCCCACCTTAGGTTTATCTTAGTCTCCCCCTTTGTGAGGGAGGTGTCAGGTCTTCTGAGAAGCATCATCCTGGAGCTTCTTCCAAGGCCAAGGCATGGGGTGGAGCCTGGCTAGGTCTTCTCACCTCAATCTCACTGTTTTTCCTGTTTTCTTTGAGATTCTCTTAGCCTCTAAACTGCTTCTCTGCTGGGTCCCAGCTGCCTCACTTTCTTGCACTTCCCCCAGAGCAGGAGCCTCCATACACAATGAGGTGGGGAGGGTGGAGGCAGGGAGAAAGGAAGTCTCTGATATTAGCCCTGAAGAACTTCCCATTGTGATCCACCTTTCTAAATTCTTGCTCCCATTCAAATCAAGACTTTCTTGGCAGGAAGTGAAGAAAGGAGAACAGAGGGTGTGCCCCCAGGTATGTCCAGACCCATGTTGGTGCCAGATTGTTGCCAATCGTTGGATGACTCGAGGTGGTTCCTTTAGCCTCACCTAGCCCTTCCTGGCAGGTTCTGTGCCTGGAGAACTGTGGATCCTGGGGCTCTGCGTGCACCCACTGCTACTTGTTTTCAGGATTGGTGAGCCCCAAGAAGGGCCAAGGCCTCTGGCCTGCTCTGCTTCTTGGGGTGGATTGGGAAAATTGCCTCTCCCCATTTTTCCTTCCTACTCCTTCATAAAGGAGATCAGGCAACAAAATTCCTGTCAACAGTGCTGAAATCCTAAATGAAGGTCATTGGGTGTTGCCCCCTTTGAGACGCAAATTGCATTTGAAATGGCCAAATTTGGTTTAGCTTTGTTTACCTTGAGACTGTTCTCTGCTCAGGTCACCAGACTTCCAGAAGGCCTACCCTAACACCAAGTCCAATCCTTCAGGAACAGTAACTCCTGCTTTGACCCAGCTGTGGAATGAAGGATCAGCAGGGTGCCCCCATACATTCACACAGGGGAAACTGACTCCTGGAAAAGTTTTTCCATCTGCTAGGTTCCCATCCCTGCGGGAAGGAGGGCATAGTATCTGAAATAATGGGACACAGAGCACAAAGAATGTGTCTCTCACCACCCGCTCTTAGACACAGAGGTGGAAGCACTTGTTCTACAGGCCCCCGTACAGAGGTCCCACAGAGTTCCTGACCAGTGCCTGCACAAAAACGTCACCCTCCACTCCTCGCACTGAGCCCTATAGCACTGCTAAGACCTACAGAGCATGTGGGTGATCACACCTTCACCCATAGGCTCTGCTCCATTGCCTCTCCCAACTCACATGGGGACAGGTAGACTTACTCTGATACACAATGGACACATGCTTCCACCCCGCCCCAGGTGTGCCTCTGTAATTGTTCTGCCCCACTCACTTCTAGCCGCCTCCCTCCTCCTCCAGACCTTACAGAGGCCCATTTGCCTTTACTTCACATAAATGCCCAGGACACCAAACACATCACATATGGATACACATATTTTCCTCACTTATACACTCCCAGGTCCACATCCCTGGCCGAGTGAGTGAGCCATGCTTCTGCAATCATTGAACAAGGCAACTTCAGTGAGACACAACAGTTCAGCATACCCAAGTCCCATACATCTGCCACTCTCCAAACTGGAGACATCAGAAGCCCTCCCACCCTCCAACCCCATAGCCCCCACCTTCATCCTTTTCCAAGGTTCCTCCAACATCAACCTCCCCACATCCGCCCCCGGATGACCAGCTATCCACGTTGTCCTCTCCTGGCCATCGCGGAATAAGACCCCCAAGAATGGTGGTCCTCTCCTTAGACCCTTCCCGTGTAGTGACACCTGTCAGAGCTCACTTCCTCCTCCCTCACCTGTGTGCATGAGTTCCAGATTCACCATCCTGCTCAGGGCGGGGCCAAAACAAGCGCCCCCGCAGGCTCCTCGCGTGGGCCCCAGCTGATCCCCCTGAGAAGCCAGGGTCTCCTTCTTCCCGCCCCCAGCCGCCGCCGTCGCGCACTCTGCTTCTCCCGCCCGGGCAACCCTCGGCGGTGCCAGGATTGTCGCTAGCCCCAGGTGAGCACGCCGCGCGCCGCAGCGCGGCGCGGGGCGGGGGCCGTCGGCCCCGCCCCCCCTCTCCGGCAGGGCCTGGGCTCCTGGCCCCCTGCCCAGGCAAAGCAGCGATTTGCATACCAGGAGCCAGGGGGCCTGGGGAGGGGCAGTGGGTGCTGCCGGGGCGGGTCCTGACCCTGCGGAACACCTGTATGCCCAAACCCAGCCTGGGGGCCTCTCCCCACCGCCTCCGCAGGGACCCAGACTTCCTCTGGCTAGCCTGTTTTAGAAACCCCTGGAGGATTACCCAGATGGGATAGAGTTCTCCGCCTGAACAGACTCCCAAAGTGTAAGCGGGGCAAGGGGCCTGGAGTGGTTGGAGAAGCTATAGGTTGTATCAGAAAGAATCTGGTTCTGAAATCCTATCTTTCAACCCTGTACTAGCGTGTGACAGGAAACAAGGCTTTTCACCTCCCTGAACTCGGGTACTCATCTGTAAAATGAGGCAGGGTACAAATTCTAACTGGCCTCTCTCTCTATGGAGTTAGCAGGTGGCCAAGCTCACCAGCTCGCATGAATCCTCGAAACATCCTGGGACCCGGATGGGGCCAAGCTTATTATCATGTGTTCCAGGTGAAGACACAGAACTTTGCCTGCCCCATCCAGGTCCCAGGTTGCTCTGAGGTTCTATGACTGGATGATGTAAAAGTTATATACCAGTGTGAGGGGTTGTCGGGACAGCTGCCTCCCTCGTCAACACAGCTGGGAGGTGACAGTCACACAATTCCCTAGTGACAAACCGAGCCCTGCTGGAATCAGGTCTCTAGACTCCCACTTGGGTGCTCTTTGCAGCACCCATAATAGATCTGAGCCCCCGTCCCCCACCCCACCACTCTTTAGGTCATAGTAAGTGGTGCCAAGGGCAAGGAATCACCTGTCTTGCAAGCACAGAAAGCCATGTGCTGATAGGAAGACAGGTTCTTTCTTTCCAGACAGGTCTCTTTATCAACCTGCCTTACTCTCAAGGACTATTTCCTGCTCACAGAACAGGTGCTGGGCATAGTGCCTCTATGCCTTGTTTACAATGTGTTTTCCACCTGGTATGTCTGTTCACCCACTATCCACCCCAATAATCCCTATTTTAATATCCAGCATTATTGAACTTTCACTATGTGCCAGGCACTGTACTAACACTTTAAAGCATCCATCTTGTTTAGTCCTCATATCAGCTCATAAATTGACCTGTTATTATTTCCATTTAACAGATGGAACAAATGAGGCAGAGTGAGTTTAACTTGCCCAATGTTATAGATCCAGTACAGCAGTAGGGTTTCTATTCAAAAGCACTGTCCTTTCTCCCTCTACGCACAATTCAAATGCCATCTCTTTTCTAAAGATGGAAGTGATCTGGTCTTTCACTAAATTACCATAACACTTCAATGTTTTTAATAGCCTTTGTGAGATCTGTGAGATTTTTCTTATCCTACCTCATGATTATTAACTGATTGGTGACCCCATAGCACCAAGCACAATGAGCACAGTGCTGGGTACAAAATAGGTATCAGAAAGCGCTCAGTGGTTGTCACAATAGCCCTGGAGAAATAAGAAGTGGCTAACATGTGCATCTTTAGGTCCATACAAACCATCTTCCCCCAGTCACAATGTCTTCCCCTATTCCAGGAGAGGATATTTTCTCCCTGTTTCTTCTGGCTAGGAGAAGAGATCAATCAAGGGAACACAGGAAACCCGTTCAGGACAATATCAGCCTGTCCTCTCCCTCCCTCCTCTTCTCTCTCTTTTGCTTTCACTTCAGGCTTGGCCCCTTCTCTGAGGTCCATTTCTTATCTATACTTGCACTCCACCTGCCATCATCCTAGCAAAAGGTCTGCACATAGTTTATATACCCCAGTGTGCTTGTGACTTCCATATCTCTATTCGCACAGCATTTGCATGGTTATGTGCCCTGGAGGATCTGATTCTCTAACTACAGTATTTGGGATCTGTTTCTCTTTTTCATGTGTGAAGTTACATTGTTTCTCCAGGCTTTAGTTTTCCAGAAGCCAGAGGAGCATGTACCTAATGATTTCCAAGGGCCTTCCAGCTCCAGCAGCCTAGGATTCTGGGGTCCTGAGGATGGAGGCAGGGTGGAGCTCTTGGGGATGATGCCCATTGGGACAGAGATGGGACTTTGGAGGTTCACAGTTGGAAGTACAGCTTTTGATTCCAGACATGGGACCAACATTACCTCACCTTCGTTCGTTTACTCATTCCTATATTCATGCATTCAATAAACATTGATTGTGCATTTCCCTATGTGCCAGGAAAAGTGCTACATGCTAGACATACTTCTTATTATTTAGTCAGCACGAGTTTGAAAGGAAGGTATAATTTTTTGCTCCTTTTATAGAGGAAACTAAGGTTCAGGGAACTTAATGCAGTCAGTAGATGGCAGAGCTAGATTTATATCAGGTTGGCCTGACTCCAAAGCTGGTGCTTCCAATCTTGCCTCCAATTGCCTGAGCCTGAGGTTCTCCTTCTCTTCTTCCTTCCATGATCTTATAACTTGAGGTGGAAAGAATCTAGTTATAATTCATAGGAGTAACAGGAGGTCCAAGAAAAAAGGACTTGCCCAAGGTTACATGGCAGAGCAGAGATCCTTCCATTCTCTCTGCTCCTCCTTTACATGTTCTGCCTGGGTCTCAGAAAGTTGGGTGGGTTTGCAGTACTGGAAGGCTGGAAGCAAGGTTAGACAATTTTTACTTCTTCTCTCTCTAACTTGCTTGATGATAATTTCAACTGGATGGTCTTGAACAGGAACTCAAAAGGCCCCTTTATCTCTCCTTCCTTCCCAGTATTTAGTCTCCCTGAAATCAGCTTTTAGAGTTCTGGGCCAATGAGAGATGGTGGGGAAGGTGCTATCCCTCTAAGCCAAATACTCCATGTCTGTATTTAGCCTGGGGGAGAAAAAACTGTGGGGGGAAAAGAGAGAGATAGGGGGTTGCCTTGAGGTTAGAAAGGAAAGGTTACAAAAAAAAAGTTGAAAGAAGCAGGGACAAGAAATTTCAGTGCCTTTGGACATCAAAAGAACCATATGCAAATAAAATGCAAATAATTTCTCCTGCCTCCCTTACCCCTATCCTCTCTCAACAGCTGGAAGACTTTCTCAGGGAATAACCAAAGCCTTAAACCAGGATGCTGTGGTCCTCAAACTGTGATCAACTTGGAGCCATCCCCAGGTTCTTCTGGTCTTCTGGGGATAACACCTCTAGGAAGTCATTAGCTCCACAGGCCATTTCTAGAAATTGCCAGAAATCAAGCTTCCCCTTCCAGGCACGCTGCTGGAAATGATCTATGATCATGGAAAAGGTACTCAGGGGAGGGAGGAGAGCCCCAACTCTGTTTCCCACCTAAACAAAGTGGGCTTCTTAGCTACAGGCCTATTTCTCACTCTCATATCCTGTCATGTCAGCTGGATTGAGTTGTCAGAGCCGGGAAGAGGGTGGAGAGCAAGGCAATCTGGAAGGCCACCAAGCAACAAGTCCCTTCTAGCTTCTTCTGTGTGCCAGATACACTGTGGGGCCTAGAGCGTGAGACTGCATGGTGGGGTCAGCTCCCTGCCTTGGGGAAACCACAGGAAATGAACCAAGCTCAGGCTTCTCAAAAGGGCTAATGGAAACAAGGTAGAAGCCAGGAAGAACTCCTTGGCCTCTCTAAAAAAACCCACACCTTAGAGTCAATCTTACAGCACGATTGCCAGGAGGAATACTGTAGAATAGGAGTAGAGGGGTTAGTGTCAGGGTAATAAAGTGAGAGGTGGTCTGGGAACCAGGATAAATCAATTGTTTCTGGGGATTAGACTGCAGAAAGCATGGGAGTCAGGATTCAAAGCTATTTATTCCCTGTCTCTGATTTCCCTAACACTGAGCCCTCAGCCCTGGACATTCCACTCCACTCAGTACCCAGCCTTCACTCGTATCTGTGGGGGATACACATAATCTCCTTGCCCATTTTGCACTTGAAGTTTCCAAATAATAAATAATAGTAGTATGCATTTAATTTTAAAACAGCATAACAGCTGTTTTTCAATGAACTTTTTTGACCTTGGGGCCAGCAATGGGCATGGGTCTGGCCACTGTAATTACACTTCAGCAGACCTTTTGCCTCCAGCAGGTAAACCTTAGTTCACCTGTACCCTCAGGGGAAGTCTAAGCCCAAGGCGCCCTCTTGTGGTGATGGAGGCATGTGACTCTGACTTAAGCCTCCCTACCTGCAAGTCTTTGGAGAGCTTTCACTACCACCCAGCAGTGAGAACCTATCCATGGCTGGAGGAATCACAGGTGAGGACCCCAGTTCAAGGCAAGTTGGAGATATCGAACTTTAGCTTCTAAGTGACGTTGTATCTTCTAGTCAGTCCATGCTCCTCAACAAGGCCACGGAACCCAGTTCGAGTCAGCCAGCTTCAGCCTAGTCAACACAGTGACAGGAGCTCTGGCCTTTTTGGTAAATTTGTCCTATTGCTGGACATCAATGCTGGTTAAAATGCCCTTCCTCCCATACTTCCTCTGGAGCTTCTAAGCTACATGCCAATGCTACAACCCCACATGTAGGAGGAGGTCAGTGGCCATTTTTCCATTCATCCACTCAGAGCAGGTGCACACCGGAGCTACTCATTGGGCTAGGGGCTGGAAATGGAATGGAAACCAGGCACTGTCCTTGCTCACAGGAAGCTTACAGTTCGGTGAGGCTGAGACCAGTCAAAAGGCAAAGTCCCTCACAGCGTGGCATGTCCTCTAACAGGGACATCGGGGGTGTTGTGGGAATCTGCTATGGGACATGCCTTACTCGAATCCGGGCATGGGCACCACGAAAGACTTCTTAGAGGAAGGGACATCTAAGCCAAAAGTAGGGAGGAGCCTCATGAGGGTGGGCATAAGCAGTACATGCAAAGGGAACATCATGTGCCAGGAAGGTATGTGGAACAATGGAGGCTCCTAAGCAGTACAGTTTGGCCAGATCACCGAGCACAAAAAGGAAGAAATACAGGGAGTGAGGATGATGATAGCTGTACAGGGAGGACTTTGAATCTGTCTGCTCTAACTTAGGTGGAAACAGTTTGCCACTTTCAGTAATAGATGATTTGTTACTGATTGAAAGATTGGGAATTGCTGGGGTGGTTGTGAATTCTGGCAAGAAGTTTCACTGTAAAGAAACAGGGACAAGTAGGGCAAGGTAGAGAGGGACTTAGGTTTGAAGTTTTATTTATTAATTTTTTATATAGGAAAAATTTAAATACACTCAGGGCTGATGGAAAGAAGGCAGGAAAAAAAGAGAAGTGGAAGAGAGGGGACAATTTCTCCAGAGAGGGGAGAGAGGCCAGCATTCAGAGCCCTGCAGTCAGGGTCAGGGGAGAAGGGACACCTGCCCCGCCATTATGACAGGCGTGGATGGAGGTTGGAAAGAGATGTTTCTGCTTCCTGTGATGCAGGAGGTGGAGAGCCATGAGTGCTTTGTCATCCTGCCTCTCTCTGCCATTATGACACAGGAGCCATGACCATGGCCCCCTCCCCAAAGGCTCCACAGGCCTAGATCCTGAGGTAGTTTGTGATACACCTTCTTTCTCTTGCTTGCTGGGAAGCCCCTAAGTTGGGGACTTTCTCCCAGGGAGGGTTGCACTGAGTCCTTTTTCCCTTCCACTGTTCATGCTTCTGGGTCCTCAGCTGGGACTGCTGTTGTGGTCAGTCATGGCCTCTGAAAGAAAACAGAATCAACCCGACTTGGAATGCCTTTCATGAAGGTATTGCTTATTTACAGAGGTGCCGACAGGGCTAAGGGAACCAGAGAGCAGTGACACTGAGAAGCTAGGGCTGAAGAGGCAAGGGGAGGAATAGTGGTTTAGGAATTCAAGGAGGTCTGGAGCCTTGTGGGAAGAAAGCCAGTGCCAGAAGTGTGGAACTGAAGAAGCAAGGAGCAGGGAACATGTGTTGCAAAGTCTCTCATTCTGCCCTCAGATCTTTGATGCTTCTCACTTGGTGAAGCCAGAGGTGAGGATGCCCAGATGGGGCTGATGCAGAGACTGGTGTCCACAGGCACAGGCAGAAGAGGAAGGAGAATGAATGGGGCAGGAAATCAAGCAGGAAACAGCCAGGACAACACTTACCTGGCTAGGGTAAATAGCTGATATCTGAGAATAAACCCTAGAATGCTTTATTGTTTCTCAAGGTCAGATGATACTTTAAGATAATATCAAGTGATGGCAGGGTGATGGTTAATTTTGTGTTTCAGCTTGGCAAGGCTATAGTGCTCAGTTGTTTGTTCTAATACTAGTCTAGATATACTAGTCTGTGAAGGTACTTTATAGAAGTGGTTAACATCTACAATCAGTTGACTCTAAGATTACCCTTGACAGAGTGAGACTCATCCAATCAAATGAAAGCCTTAAGAGTAAAAACTGAGGTTTTAAGAGAAGGAATCCTGTCTCAAGACTGTAACATAGAAATCCTGTCTGAATTTATAGCTGCTGGCCTGCTCTACAAATTTCAGACTAAAGACTGTAAAATCAGTTTCTGCCTAAACTGCCAATCTGCAAGGATTTTGGACATGCCATTCTCCACAATCTGATGAATTCATTCCTTAAAAGCCTCCCCCTACCTCTCCCTCTCTTCTGTTTCTCTGGAGAACCCCTGATGATAGAGCAGGAATGTGGAGAAATAGGGCCTTTCATACACTGCTAGTGAGACTATAAATTGGGACAGCCCCATTTGGAGGGCAATTTGATGCTATCTACCAAATACTGGCCATTTTAGTTCTCCATTTTTTACCATTTCTCTACAGCACAGCTTGTAAGAGCAAGTCATAGTGAACAATTCAATTGTAGATCAGTAGCCAAAAGGGTAAATAATCTGAGATGGAATGCAAGGCAGTCATTACACACAGAATGTCAGTGTCAGGGAAGACATTAGAGGTGATCTACTGAGGCCCTTTCTCAGCAGATGAAGGAACAGGGGGCTTGTAATGGGGTGACCCACCCATGTTACATAGATCTGGGACTACTAGGCTGGCACCCACATTCATCACATGCATCACATGCATTGTTAGCCTCAAGCTTTGCTTCTTGAGAGTAGTTCTTGCCCTAATCTTTGCCAGACTGCTTGGCAGCTCCACCCATCACACCCAGGTCCTGTGAAGACCCTGGGCAGAGGTTCCCCAACTGTGGGGCCCCAGAGTTATCTCATCTAAGATTTCCTTTGCCTTGTAAGACTGCAGGAAGAGAAGCCTGAAGAAAAACCACAGAAAGCACAGTAAGGCCACATTCAGGCTGTGTGATCCTGTCAGAGGATGAGTGGCACCACTTTTACCTCCTCTGGCTTGAAGAGGCACTGGGAGATCTGGGCTCTTTGTCTCTCACCCAAGATTCTTGCTTAACTTGGCAAAAAGGACCAATCAGGAGCCTATTCCTTTGAGCACTAGTTCCAGGGGAGATTTGGGCACCCCCTACCCCCAAGTACTCAACAACTGCTACTGTAGGACTGGACCCACCTCCACACCTCACACTGCCCACTGTCCACCTTCTTCCCTCTGGTAGGTGCACTGTGCTCTCTGAGGTTCTGGCTGGCCAATCTGATAAACCCACTTGAGTTAGTAGGTATGCATGGAGTCCCAGCTCTGCTCTCATTAGCTGCCTGACCTTGGCAAGTAACAATTTTATAGGTGAGCCACAGTCATAAAATGTCACAGAATCACAAGGAGCCAGCTGAGCTAATTTATATGAAGGCACTTGTAAAACCTAAAGTGCAAGAGAAATGAGGACTCACCGTACGTAGATTACCTCCCAGGTATTTTCACATACTCACAAAGGCTTCTGGAGGAAAGTAAAGCATTGTCTCAGTGTTTGCAAATAGCTGACCACCTCTATCGATTCAACAAGCTCCCGAGGGATTTTGATGCACCCGAAACTTGTCAGCTGAGAAGTGACTGTATGGTGGAATTGGAGGCACCATGACAGCACAAGGTTGGAGGTTAGGTTTATTTGGAATGACAGCAGGTGTAGACTTTGCCTGTGTGCAGGATCAGCACCAATTCTCAGGAAATCTTAATTCTCATCCCCATACCTTGAGACCGCAGGCAGGGAGGTGCCAAAAAGCCCCCCTTACTGCAGGGGACAGGCAACCTTGAAGGCACTAGTCCTTCCAAAGGAAGATCAGAAAAGCACTCTTATGTCTTGAAAACATTACTTTTTACAAAAGTATTGTTTTTGGTTAGTTGAAAGTGTGTAGGGAAGGTATATGATGTGGGGACCCCATCTCTAGCACTAAACGCAGACACATAGGGAAGTACGTGCCTTCTCCAAGTAATCACCTCCCTCACCTGGAGGGATGAGAGCTTAGAGCTGATGCCCCATATTATCCAGGAGGGCAAGGAGGAAAAGGCCTGGAGAGGAACGCCTTGCTCCCCTGCCCCTCCATCTCCTACATGGCCGAAGTTGGTCCTTGTCTCCCCACCGACCCATAACTCTGATCGTGGCCAGGTAAGCCTGGCTCTCACCACAACCCTCTGGCCTGCACAGGTTCAAGGGGCAGCAGCAGACTGTTCTGAAAGTGCTGGGGAGCAAAGTAAGGGGGACTACCCTGTAAGCCTCTTTCCCTCTCCAAGGGCTCTGAGGAAGAATTTGATTCTCCTGGTCCCTTCTTTCCTAAGGAGTTGGGTGATCTGTGGGACCTCTGGGACTTTTCTGGCCCCTGAAGCCTAGCCCCCCTACCTTGCCAAATTCTTACCATCCTTCAGCCTCAAACCATACCTCCTCTCATCCAGAAAACTTTTCTGCAGTAAGTTCAGCTTGTACATCCCTTATTCTTGGAAGTCTTCCAGCATCTGGCCCATACTTCATATTACAGCCTCCTTATATCGGAAGATACTTTGGAAGTGTAGATGCCTTCAAGATATCTGCCTTGGTTGTATCAGGTTATACATGAGGAAATGTCTGCTCTTCTAATAGTAATGATATAAAAATAGCTAACACAATAAACACTATGTGCTGGGCACTTGAAATGTATGAACTCACTTGTCTCACAATTAAGCTCATTTTATAGCTGAGAGAGCTGAGGCAGAGAGATAAAGTAACTTGACCCAAGGCTGCAGAGCAAATAAGTGAGGCCAGGATTTGAACCCTGGAAGTCTGGTTCTGAAGTTTTCATCTTATCTCTTGACTTAATATATCCCATGCTGTCTACTACTGTCTGTCTTGCTCATCTGTGTATGTCTCCTCTTCTTCAGCACAGAAGGTTTGTCTTATCCTTCCCTAGTAACATCCTTCTACCCACACCCTCTCCCTACCACCGAGTGGCTGAACATACAATAGGTGCTTTAGAAAGTATCCCAAGATTGGTCACTGATAGAGTACAGAACTTTTCCTGACAACAGGTGGCAGTACTGTATTGGCCCAAAGTGAGTCAAGTAAAAATTGAAACTTTTATTTCTGGTAGAAATGATAAATACTTTGCATTAAAAATCTTAAATTCAAGTTTTCCTCATACTTCATGCTCCCTCCATGCCCCAGAACCCTACAAACATATTTCTGTTTAGAAGGGGAAAGGTGGTACCTGCTCTTGTGGCCAAACCTGGGTCTGGGGAAAGGCACAGGTGTGTCTGTCTCAGAGCTGGGAGGTCCCACCTGCCCCAGTGAAGCCTAGGAAGCCAATAATGAGAAGAATGCGTTGTGATCTGGTGAAGGGGCTGCAGCATCAGTCCCAACAGCCCTCTCTGTGGGGCAATAATCCCCTCTTTGTTGGGTAGTTGAAAGGGCAGAGGGGCCAGCTTCTTTCCGATGGTTGGGAAGGGGTTCTATGTGAGGAGGTGGGTATAACAGGTATAAAAGACATCTTTTGGGGTCTAAACCTTTAAAGAGTTAAATAGCAGAATCATGGGCCATGACATTTTGGTTGCATAAAAGAGGAGATGAAGGATGGGAAGAGGGGTGCAGTGTGGAAAACCACCTTTTCTTCTTAGTCCTCAAGGAAGGCACAGGATGGGAGTGGGAGCTGCCATGCCATATCCCTTTTCACAGTTATGAGTGATGGGGCTAGAAGCTCTGGGCTTAGGGAAGGAGGGAAGGGGGGAAGAGGAAAGAGGAAAGAGGAAGGCAGGGAAAGGAAGAGGGGAGGGGCATAGCAGGGGAGGGGATAGGAAGGGAGGGGAGGGAGAAAAGTAAGGCCTCTGTGGGGCTGGGAGAAGGGGTAGTGAGCCTTCACTATGGTCTCTCTAAGGGTCCTCATCCCAGGGACACAGCTGCCTCTGGGGCATGTAGAAGTTGAAGCTGTAGCTCTTCTGGCAGCTGCGGATGCCGCACTTGTAGGGTGCCGGCCGATCCCGACTGTGGCAGTACTTGAGCATGCAGGGGTACCAGGCCAAGCTCAGGCCATAGTGACAGACACAGGGCACCCCTCGGTCCCCCACATGCCTGCAGCGAGGTAGCAAAGCCTGCTCTGTGTCCTTGGGCAGAGTCTTGAAGATGGAGCTGTCCACACCTAAGGGAGAGAGGTGAAGGTCAAGAAAGGAGAAAGCAGGGCTCCCCTAGCAAGGGGCCAGGGACATTCCATGCACGGACTCTTTACGTAACCCATCATCCCAATCATCCTCATCTCACAGATAAGAAAACCAGCCTGGAGAAGTTTAACAATCTGTCACACAATAAGTAGTAGAGTTAGGACTGGAACACAGGTCTGTCTGACTTCAAGGCCTTAACTTAGCCTACATTTAAAAACATCACTATACCGGATTGTGATGGAATAAAGGTAGGGGGAGAATAAGCAGGAAATCAAGATAAGCTTCTTAAAGGAAATGGTATCTGACTAGACCAGGGGGGAAAAGGCCAGCACATACACACTGGGAACTCAGGGTGGTCAGGGCATGGGACAGACAGGAGTGTGCATTTGAGGGGTGCTGGGGAGACAACAGGGACCTGGGCCTTGGCTCAGCTCGGTGGCCACAGGGGTCCAGCCTCTGGGGGACAGTATCAGGCTTGTAGCTCAGTTTGGGGTGCAGCCCAATGGGGAGGTGTGTGTGTGTGTGTGTAAGGAAGGCTTCACAGCTCTATCAGGCATTTCTAAATCCAGAGCCACCCTGGAAGGGGCAGACATTTCTCTAGTACGCAGCCAGCCAAGCAGAGGGACCAGGGACCTGGAATTAGAATGGTGACATCTCCTTGTCCCCTCTATACAGAGGACCAGAGGACAGCCTGGGGAAAAGTACCAGGAGATCACCCAGCAGTGAGGTCACATAGGCCAGAAAGGCAAAGACCATGCAAAGATAGAAGGAGGCCTCGGGGACCTTGGAATAAAGATGCTGGCACCAGAGAAGGTATGAAAGGAAGGAGAGGAATGGATTTCTAAGAGGTAGAGGCCAAGGTAAGCATGTGGGAATGGGAGTCCTTGACCCCCACCCAGACACTGGTGCCCGTGCTTCTTCACATGACAGAAGGTTCTATCTGTTTTCACTAAGGTCAGGGATGAGGTGAGATTTACCTGGGAACCCCCCTCCACAGGGCCCAGCAGAGTCATAGTTCCATGTGTCCCTAACTGGAACGGGTCCCTTTCACCTAGCTGACTCCTCTCACTGAAGAGCCACACAGACGTCACTTCCCTAATCAATCCCAGCCTGGCTTAGAGGTCCCTTCCCTGAAATCCCACATTTCATCATTGCATTCTATCATATTTGATATGATACAGCAGTGGGCAGCGCCCAGCTGACCTTGCTCCAGCCAGAACTTGACATCCTCCTGGCGGGTGTAGATGGCATCCATGGCCTCTGCACACACATTGCGGAGATGGGGACTCAGCAGGCCCCTCTGACTGAAGTTTACGGCGATGTCCATGTGCAGGTGCTCGAGGCCCCGCACCTCCTCAGCCTGACGCACAGCACGTGGATTTTTCTGTGGGGAGGAGAAGAGCCACTCCCACCAGATCTCAGAATGCTTCCTGCCCATTTCCCCCTGATCACTGAGTCTGACAAGACCAGTCTGGTTGTCTTTAGAATCTTGGGACCATCTGCAAGGTGGCAGTCAAATGGCACACAGCTCCCACCCCAACTGGCAGAGAAACTGATACCCAGAGCATAGGTAAGCCTTTTCAGCTGACCACTGGGCTATCCTCATTGGCCCAAGGAAGAGTTCAATCATGCTTCTGGGGGTGGTATTGGAGGTGGGCTGAACCAGGCATGCTGTCCCAGGGTAAATGACCTCTGGGTTTCCATACTTTCCAACATTCAAGGAATTGAATGGAAACTCTGGAAAGGGCAGGCACAAGGAGAAGGGCCTATGGCAGGTAGAGGCTTTGAAGGTGAGGTAACTTGTCCAATGTTCCCAGATATGAGAGTGGCACTGGGTCTGGAGGCAGACCCAACTTCAGACCTAAGCCTCTAGCCTTCATCATAACTGGGGAGGAGCTAATATTAGGGACTGGAGGAATATGGGAGTTTGGGATTCAGTGCAGATTAAAGATCTGGGACTATGAGGTCAGGTTTAGCTGGAGCAAAGTCAGGGGGTTCAGGACTATAGGGTAAGAGTGGGTATTAGGGTTCAGGTCATGTGCTGGGCAGGATATTGACATTGGGGTGGTGTGCAGGCTTAGGGCCACACTGGCTGCAGGGGTGAGAGCTCTGGGGCAGAAGCTGGGAGAAGGCAGACCCAAGGAAGGCACTCACCTGTCGAAGTTTGGCCATGGCCTCACTGGGGATGATCTCATTGTGGTGCAGCCGGGTGACAAAGCAGAGGGCCTGGAACTGACTCTGACCTTTCTCCAGCTCCCCCAGGATCAGGGCCCGGAAGATCTTCACATACTGATGGAAAAGGGAAGAAGGATGGGGACCAGCTGGATGTGGGTTGGGCCTCCCTACCAGTGCTTAGCTCAGGCCCTGGAGAGGACATGTGTTTGGACACTGCCCTGCAAAAGACATCGCCCTCCTTCTGGTCTAGGAATTTTTATCTTTACCAAGAAAGAATACAGCCCAGCTGGAAAATTTGTGGAGTGAACTGCTAGAAAGCTTTTCAAAACAGAACTGTTTCAAAGTACAGAACTTCACCTTGAAGGGAACAGCACCCTTTTGGCACCTGGTTCACTTTTAGCTGATACTTCCTCTAGGTGGCACCAATGTGTCACTTTGATCAGGATGGGCCAAGAGCCCTACACCCACAGGACTAGGGCTTGGGTGGTGGGGTGGGGGTGGGGGATGTTGTAGTTTTCACAAGTACAGATTCCAGAGTTTCCTTGCTGACATTCTTATTCAGGTTTGGGAAAATGCCTACCTATTAATGCTCCTCAAAATTCGCCCCCATACTTCTGATCAGCCAGGCTCCTGGCCACACCATCTCAGATAATGGGGGTGGGGGGCAGGAAAGGGTTAGGAACACATGCTAACACAAGCTGCCTTCAGCTGTTGCTGCCTTCTGGTCTGAGGGATTTGGGATGGCTCACCTTTCCCTTCTCTCTCCACTTCCCCTTTCCCCATGGGCTTACTAATGGAATTACCAGCAGGCCAAGGGCTCCTTCCTGTTACTGACTCACTGCATGAATGCGGGAGGCTGGAGTGGGGCTCTGGGATGGGATCTGCTTCCCAACTGACTTCAGAAGGGAAGCAGATCCCTTTAACAACTGGCTGCTGTTTTCCCAACTCTATTGTCCTATTTAAATGCTGGATCCCCGTTCTTTGACCCACCTACATCTGATGTGACTCCCTGCTCTCACTCATCTCTGTGCCTTGCCTGACTGCTCCCAGTGAGAAGTTACCAGGCCCTGGTCAGAAGCAATTTAATCTGTTAAAATCCCCCTGCCTAGGAGATAGTATGGTGACAATGATGGTTCTCCTCTAGGAACCAATGGCTCAGCACTGGCACTGAGAATATAGAGCCCAGTGTAGCTCATCTATCAACGTATGTGCCCTGGCCTCAATCAATAAGAGAGCCCTCATTCAGTGAGTGCTTACTATACACCTGCTAGAGTGTGAGTGCTCTGAGAACAGGGTCTAGGATCCCTCCTGGGTTCCTGGTATGTGCAGTGATAGGTGCATGATTCCACCCCAACTCTGCAATGTATGAGCTGGCACCCATGCATATCCCTCAGCTTCTCTAAGCTTCATTTGTCAAATGGGAGTGAGGACACATTTACCTGATAGGGTTGTGGTGAGGATTAAATGAGTTAGTGTGGAGGGCACAGAAGAATGCCCACCCTGAGTCAGTGCTCAGAAGGTACCAGCTGTGGTGATTATCATCATTGCAACTTATCGGCAAATGTCACAGGTGACCTGAACAAATGACTGCTGTCATTCCATAGGTCCTTATGTACTTCTGAAGTCCTTTGATTTTACAAGGATGTTTCTCTTCCTTTTGCTGTGAATGCTCTCTGGAATAATGAGGTGTGGGAGTGAATGAGGAGACTTTCCACCAATATTGTAGAAAGGAAAACTGAGGCACAGCTGGTGAGAAAGGTTCTATTAGGTTCCTTTTGATACCAGACTCGTGGGGAAAGTGAATCAGAGCTTGGGTTCACCCTAGCTTCTGCTCAACAGAAAATTTGTTCTTGGGCCACATGTCTGGAATCTCCTTGCCACACCAGCCTGGCATCTGATCTTCCATTCCCTTGGGTCAGATAAGGGGAGACTGGACCTAGTATGCTTATGTACTTTTCATTTCAGGCTCAATTCCTGCCAGGTGAGACTTGACACCAGATTTCCACTCCTAGGGTATTTTCAGCAATGACCCTTTAAAAGAACCCTGTCTGGAATATTCACAGCATCTTCTCCAATACATCTCCTGCCAATACCCTGTGGTTTGAGGGGTGCTGGGTGATCCCATTGCTTGGGGACATCACCTGCCTACCATTAACAGAAAGCATTTATTTGAATTCTTAGGCCAGAACAGAGGATGAAAGAAATCTGAGGTTTACCCCCGCATCTATATTAAATAACATGTCAAAAACAAAACAAAATGCTACCAAAATGGGAACACAACTGGGGGTAAAGAGAGGGAACAAGAATTTCTCATTGAAAAAGGGTATTTCCTCTATTTCTCCTAGTTATTTTTGTAGGACAAAGATTTATTGAAGTTTATAACTGGAAGGGACAAGTCATTGTTACTATGAGTTAAAAAAGGATATACTATTAAGTATATCCTGTTTAAAATCTTTACAACAAGAGATGGGAACTGTGATTTCTACTGAATTTAGAATGGGTAACTTGCACAGGGTCATGGGACTAAGAGAAAAATGTAGCTGGAATTTTAACCCAGCAGTCTGACTCCAAAGTGTGAGCTCTCTTCACCAACCACAATTGCCTCCTAGATCAATTAGTCCTATTTCCTTGAGGCCTAGCTAAAGAAACTGAAGCTCAGGCTCAGGGACGCAGTGCTAATCTGCCTTTGGCCACACAGCTGGCAAGCAGCAGAGCCAGGATAAGATCCCCCTTCCAGTTGTGCCTGTCCATCCAGTAGTGGTCTGTAAGTCCTCTATATCTGCTTACAGAGTACAGCAGCTCCCACTCATGGTTATAAGTGACTAATAAACAATAGCATCTAACACAAATATTGGAGGAAGGTGAGGAAGGACCCCCTTCTAACATGCCTGTCTGCCTGTCCTTCAGCCTCTTTAAACCCTGAATTCTCCATTTTTCTTAGTCCTATTTTTCCAGAAAACCATATTCTACTTGCTGGTCCCTGGGAGGGAATGGGCAGCCCTAGTTCCTGAATCTCTTTGGCTCCACCACTCCAACCAGCTGCCCCTCCTACCTTCTACTCCCTATACCTCAGAGTCACTACTAAGATTCCAAGGGCCCCTTTCCCTCCAGCACAAGGGAAAGGTAGGGGAGAAGCTCCCCTGCTTCAGAGAACATCTGGCCAGGTGGAAGACTGGCTTCCAGGTTTCCTCCTTACTAGAGAGTGCCCTGGGTTGATTTACCCAGATGTAGCCTAGCACCAAAGACTGATGGCATAACTGGGAAAGAGCTCATGTCAGAGGGCTAGAGGGCTCAAACCCAGACCTAAGGCTACAGCTACCAAGATGGGAGATTTCTATAAGGCTTCTCCTCCCATGAGCTCCTAGAACTTGCAGCTTACCAGGGATGGGCCACCAGGAAGAAATGTACACTACAGTACCAGGGATGAAATTTGTGCCATGCAGAGGGTGTGGCAAGTGTGCCATGGAGAAAGACAGACAGACAGAGACAGCCTCTGCTAAAGTCCTCTGTAGTTTTCAGTAAGAAACAGAGTAGGTATGTTCCAGGAGAGCACAGTAAAGAATAAAGGCTCTGGAGGCAGTACTACCTGTGCTCAACCCTGTTTTTGTTGACACTAGCTATGCAACCTTGGGGGATTTACTTAATTTCTGTGCACCTTAGTTTCCACATCTGTGAAATGGCTAAAGCTAGTAGTACCTTCCTTATGGGATTATTATGAGGAAAAACTGAGTGAAAGCTTTCAGAAAATAGTAGGCTGACCTCCTCGAGTTTCTGTATTATACTGCTGCAACCATTGGCTTTGTTTCAGCTGTGATCTGTCCCAGACCTACAGAGCAGGAGTAAAAATTTTTCTCTTAGCAATACACCTGAGACCCAGAGGGGTCAGGTAGTCAGCAAATCAGTGGGAGAGTATTGATTAGCATTACCTAGGGCAGGGCCTTAACAGCCACCAGGCTGGGCAAGGGGGTAGGCAAGACTAACGCAAAGGTCCCTGTCTTTGGGAGGCTCATGGGGAGGCCAAATTCCTATGACCAAAGTCAGTGCATTATGATAAGGCTGGGGGTGAAGTTTATTCTAAGTGCTATGAGGCAAAGGATGGATGGAGGAATGTTTGTTGTTTCCTTAATGAAGGGACTTGAAGTAGGGTAGGAAGGAAACACTCCCCAGGAAAATGTCAGTGGTCCTTGACAGTCAAAGGAAGAGGGGCTTTCTAGCCAAGAGAGAGGCATTTACAGAAGACAGGAAGGTGTGAGAGTCTCAATGCCCCAACCCAACCCATCCCTCCACTCTACTGTCATCAGATGTGCCAAAAGCCCTTTAAAGGTTCCTTCTGTCCTCTCCATAAAGTGTACCCCTCAGAGGCTGGCACCTGGGTCTCTGCAGACAGCTCCTCTTGAGCTCTCTGAGCACTGAACCAAAAAGCTGGCCATTTCCAGAATAAGCAATGTACCTTTCAATGAGCTCATTCCTCTGCCTGGGATGGCCTGTCCCCATCTGCCTACCATCTGCTTTCCCCATTCATAGGCCACAGATCCACAGACATTCACACCTGCTGTTTCTCAAAAAATCTTTCACATGCAGTTGCTCCCAATATCTCACCAGTGGCACCCAGTCTCCCCCAATGCTGCCTTCTGCCCCAGGCTCACACTGTAACTCTGTTGCTTGTTCACATTCCCCTGCACAGATGCTCATATGAGCACATTTTCTCCCTCACAGTCCTCCCATGGAGCCTCCACCTCACCCATTTCTCTGAGAGTCACATGCAACAACTCACAGACTTATCCTCTCCGGCAGTCTCCCACATCCTTTCTCCCTCACTGAGTTCTCCCTGTCTCATACACAGCCTCTCATTCTCCATCTCACGAACACCCTTTCTCACCAGTCTAACAACCTCCTCCCACATGATGTCACATGCACCTTTCTTCAGTCAGTCACACACACCTTCATATGTAGCATCTTTCCTGACACTGCTTCACACACATCCTCTCATAGCGCATCACCTCAGTTCCAGCTAGCAGATCTTCTCTCCTCCTCTACCCTTTGTACCCTCCCACTCCCTGCTGCCTTCCTCACCACTAGCTACTAGCTTCCTCCCCACTTTCTAAGCGGGGAAC